CGCTTTCTGTCTCTCTGTCTCTCTCTTTCTGTCTGGCAAGCGCACGTGCCCTATAGCAAAACCCTCTGCAAAAAAATAAAAAATAAAAAAAGAAAGAAAGAAAAAAGACTAGAGGTTAGTTGTAATATAATTGCATAACAGAAACTCTAACAAGACAGATGAACCTGAAATATTTTTTTCCTATAAAGAGCTATTTCTTTTCTTTCTTTCTTTCTTTTTTTCCTTTTTTCTTTTTTTAAGGTTTTTGCTGTAGGTTGCATGCAGTCACTGGAGACAGAGATAGGCAAGGAGAGAGAAAGTGAGAAACCACCCCCTGGTGGAGAAGATGGTCATGCCATAATCTCTTCTCCTCCATTCTCCTCCTGGAATTTTGCGCATGGATGCACATGTACCTGGAGTGATTTTTAAACCAGCAGACCCAGGACTCCAACTGGCAACCATGTAGGAGTCTAGCACCTAAACCACCATGTCACCTTCTGGCCTCTATAAACAGCTATCTATATCCTATTTCTTCATATTTAACTTTAGTGTCAATAGAATTTGTACAGAAGCCAAAAATCAGAATAATTCACATCTTTTGAGGGTTTTGTTTGTTAATTATTTTTACCTGATAACTATTCCTGGGAAAGATATTGGGTTTACTCTGTGTTTTCTGTGTGCTTCAATAAATTTATTTATGAACACTAATTCAGTTTTACTTCTTTTAAAATAATTTTGAGATATAATGCACATAACAAACAATTCATAAATGAACTGAAAAATGCACAATTCAATGGGTTTTAGTTTAGATATAGACAAGTGCATGCCTCACCACTGTCATTTTACATGTTCATATCAAAAAGAAATCCCATACCCTTTAAATGTCACTCCCTATCCTGCTGTACTTTCTCCAGTCTTAAATGATCGCAATTCTAATTTTCCTGACTATAAACTTGCTTATAATAAGCTTTTATATAAACTAGATAGCATGAAGATACTTCAGAAAGTTTGTGGAGAACTAAAATTAAAGTATACGTTTACCTCAGTGGAAAAATTTTGCTTTTTCATAATATGCATTTTCCATGAAGCTTTTGAGAGCCCCTTATATAATATATGGATTTTTATGACTGGCTTTGCTCACTCAGCACAGTTTCCAAGGTACATCTAAGTTGTAGTGTGTATTAGAACTTCATTCCTCCTTGTGGAGGAATAATTTTTTTTTTATCTAAACATACTACATTTTGTTTATCCACTTGTTCACTGTTGGACAGTTTAGTTGCATTGACCATTTGCCTATTTTGAACAATGCTGCTGTAAACATTGGCATGCAAGTTTTTGCATGGATGCCATTTCTCTTGGCTATCTACCTAGGAGTGGAAATGCTGGTCATAAACTATGTTTAACCATTTGAAGAACGGCCAGGCTGTTTTCCAAAGCTGCTGCACCATTTCATATTCTCACCAGGAGTGTATGAGGGTTCTGCTTTCTCCACATCCTTTCCTGGATTAACCTTGAAGCAATATTGCTTTATTAAGGATGGTGGGATAGAACAAAAGGAAGGTAATACTCTGAGAACATAGTACAGCTCATACTAACCCAAGACTGCTTGTTTTCCAGTTTCTTTCATGTGAGTAAAAAATAAGCCCCGCTGTGGGACCAGCAGTTAGCATAACAGCTATGTTGCTGAACTCCCATGTAGTCGACTGCAGTTCGAGTCCTGGGCCCAGTGGCTTAAACTCACGCCGGGCGCATGTGCGTGCATGCCCAAGATCCAGAGAGGAGAAAGGAGGAGAAGGGATTGTGGCCTGACCATCCCCCCTAGGGGATGATTTCTCACTTTCTATCTCTCTGATTCTCTCCGTCTGTCTGGAAAGTGCACGCACCCTGTAGCAAAAACCTCTCCAAAAAATAAATAAAGAAATAACCCCCCTTGGGACCAGCAGATGGCATAATGGCTATGTCGCTGGACTCCCATGTAGTCAACCGTGGTTCAAGTCCTGGACCCAGTAGCTTAAACTCACACCAGGCACGTATGCGTGCATGCCCAGGATCCCAGGAGGAAAATGGAGGAGAAGGGATTGCAGAATGGCCAGCCCTGCTGGGGGTGTGGGGGGATTCATTACTTTCTGTCTCTCTGTCTCTTTCTGGTGAGCGCACATGCCCTATAACAAAAACCTCTCCAAAATAAATAAATAAATAAGCCCCAGTCTCATTCAATCTACCGCTATTGCAGGCCTGTTCATGGTAGCCCAACATAATTCCTACTTTATGCAGTCCTATAAGACTTATTACAAGCAAGTCTTGAATCTGATATGCTCTTGAAAATTTATTTAATAAAATACCTAAGAATTTTTTTTCTGTGGAAAGTGTCATTCTTTGGCACTCTAGAAAATGTCTCATTTTCTTCTCAGATTATGATGATGATGATGATGATGATGATTCAGATTCCACTATTATACGGTCATTCTTCTTAGATATTGTCTCAGGGTCTTACTAGCACCTGTGGGTGTTCTGAGAGTTGGGAATGACTCGATATTCAGGAACAAATGAAAACATTACAGATAGAGCAATTTTTTCAATGGAAAGGAAAAACACTCATTGTGGTCATGTGGAATGAGGAGGAGTTTACTATTTTCTTCTTCATACGCTACCCTAAATGTTAGGACAAGAGTAAGAATGATGAAAAGTCATTTTAAGTTTTCTCTTAAACTCCCTGGGACCCCTATACTGACTAGATAATACTTGAATCACATATTTGTTCACTTTGAGACACTACTTTCGAAGTTACTTTTAGTCTCTGTGATGAGTCGTTAAGGTTCACCATCAAGGTTTCTAACAGCCTTTGGAAAGTAAAAGGAAACTTAAGTTCTCAGCTACGTATCAGCTTTCTCCTTCGCTTCCCTCCTCCCCTGCTTTCAGTCCAGTTATTTGCATTTTCAGAAGACCCTTAGAACACACAAGCAACCTGACATCCTATTGATTCTTCTTGTAACACATGTAAATATGTGCCACAAAGACACCCTTTTCTTCTTTTTAGAAAAATTATTTAATTTTACTTATTATTATTTTTCACTTTGACCAGAGAGAGAGAGAAAGAAAGTGAAAAAACAAGCTGCCAGGTCTAGGACTCGAACCATGGTTGACTGTGTGGGAATCCAACGCCTTAACCACCATGCCACCTGCTGGCCGCCAAAGACACCATTTGATAAATGGGGTTTCTTATACATTTTATGTAACTAATAAATCACTACTGGTGGAAAGGAGAACATTAGAGAATCAGGAAAAACTCTGATATATTCCTTTTTCCATGCTTCAATTAACTGATTATACATTCAGTCAACATTTATTTACCAGCACTGTTAGAAATAGTATTTAATTGTTAAAAACATCTCTTTTTTTAACTTCTGATAATAGATGTTTACATAAGTTAGTGGTTCTTGAAATCAAGCACCTTAAAACAAAATGCTTTAATCATCCTTTTGCAAGCAAGCCTTTGTTTTTCATTTGAAAGACTTTTCTCTTCTCACAAACAGCAAAATTATTTGGTTTGTGTTCTTAACAAGTTAGGCTCAATTTTTTTTATAAAAGCAAAATATATAGGAGCTAGGTTTTTTTCTTGCCCTAATTTTCCTGAATCTTAGTGGTTTGTTTTTGTTTTTGTTTTTGTTTTTATTAACAGTTTTCTAGTTTGCAGACCACTGTCATTATTTGTTTACTCATAAACATTTAGGAGTCTGGAGTTTACTCCACGCTATATTTTGTGTTATACTGGGCCTAATCCATGACAAACAGAATCCCCAAGAATCACTTCAAAGGTTATGTATATTTCTGGAGCTGTACCACCTGTCTATCAAAATGTCAACATCTCTTGTGCTTTTTCCTCTATCAATCCTGGCCAGACACCATTTTATCCTGAGAAAAAGCTAAATCTGTCCGGATTCAAATGACTGCTCAATCATCTGTTTTTGGCACTCGGACAGTGTCTTCATCTATAAAATAGGAATAATAATTTTATTTGCAGTATTAGGTAGCTCCAAGGTTTAAATGTAAAGTATACAACTTTCACCTGGCACATGGGAGCAGCACCTCATTTAGAGTAGCTGTAGGTTTCAGATTTGTTTGCATCATTACTTAAGAACTATCTTTCCTTCCATCCTGTTATTATAAATTGCTTCTACCTGTGACTGTCCACTGACCTCACTCATACATACATAACATCGCACATAGAGAGCTCATTTTGGTACAGATTTCAACGCTTTTTCTTTTTGTAACCTGCACACTGCAGGGTAGTCAAGAAACAAGGGCTTGATTCTTTCCTGGTGACAAAAAATAAGAAAAAGAAGAAATTGCTGTGTCCATCTCTTAAGTACAAGAGAGCTGGACTATATGGGAAATATAAACATTCACGTACACAGTGGTGTTTTAAATACGACCTTTTCCCTTCAAGTCCAAACTTGATTTCCAGACCTCAGTCACTTTGTTGGTTATGAAAGTCACGAAGCCTTCGGTCCTCTAAGGCCACCGAAATCGAACGTGGAAGCAAGTAGCACGCACTAAGCACAGCACAGAGGGAACCCTGGGAACTTCGCCTCAGCTCTCACCTGCCGACCAGGTCATTGTGACGCAAATGCTATGGCCACGTGGAACACCTGCAGGACAACAGGGGCGGGGTCACCCTGGGCGGCAGATTCGAGCAGGGGATACCCCAGGAGATGGGGGTCCAGGAAAGACCCCAGGGAGTAGAGAGAGGAGATCCACTCCCTCCATTCCCGACCTGCCCCAAACAAGGTGAGGCCGTCGCTCTCTCCCTTCCTCCCGTTCTTGGTCCTGCTGGGAGAGGTCGCCCGGACAGGGGTTCCCGCGCGAGGAGAGCGGAGGAGCGAAGGCGGCGGAGTCCCGGTGGCGTGCGCTGGCGGAGAGGCGAGGGCGCCGGCTCCCCCCAGCCGCTGCGCTGCGCTGCGGCGCGCCCCGACCGTGCCAGCTGCTATTCGGCCGGCCGCGGGAAGGGCCAGTTCCTGAGCTCCCCCGCCCCCTTCCCTCGCCTTCTGCTGACGCTGACGTTGGATAAGGGATCTGGAGGGACGCTCCGACCGCGGCCAGGAGGCTCCTGGGAGCCGGGGCTCCGAGGTACCTGCCCTCCGGGGCCGGGGCGGGGGCGCGCCGGGCGG